AGAATATCCCCACTCGGGATCTCTCGAAGTCGTTCTTCCTCTCCACCAGTGGCGAACAAGTGTTGAATGAAAGTGCCGTAGATTTCAATAGTGACGAGGCTGGGAAACATATGCTTGAACCTCACTAAGTTCACCAGCTGGTTGATGATGTTGCCATTGGGAGCTTCGACGCACCATTGCGTCACAGAGAGCCGCTCCAGAGATGGTGGTAAGTGCTTAGCCAGTATCAAGTGAGAGACTGGACATGGTCAATTATGTTGTGGTCCAATTTGGGATATACTCTATACCGTTAATTTCTGAGAATGTGTGCATTGGGAGCTGCAAATGCTTCAATACATGAAACTTATTGAAGCGAATGCATCCATCAGCACTCATGTTGTAGTCGGGGGGCAAGGGTGTGTAGTCGAGACAAAGGGTGTTGAGCGAGTGTGCCTTGGAGGAAATCAAATTCGTGAATGACTCGAGACAGTAACCGGTAGCCCCAGGGTGTGAACCGCTGTCCTGAGAGCAGAAGTACTTAAAGGACTTCAAGTTTAGGCAACTGACAATAAATTCGCGAATTCCACAAACCGAGTGACTCTGGTGCAGCTCAACATGCGTGATAGTTGATGGTTCCAGCGGTAACAGGTGTACACAGACTCCACTCAGCCCATATCCCTTGATCGTGTGCATCGATGAGGTTTGGAAAAAAGGATTGAGACGAGAGATATCCCATGATTTGCTCCAGGTTTCAATTCTCGGGGTTTCGCGTACGATATCCGATGGGAATTTGAAAACGACCTCTCGCAGGGACTGAAACGCCGGTGTCGGCGTTGGATTGAATGGGACTAAGTGTTGGTAGGCTTTGCGTAGCATACAATCAGTGAAACTGGTGCTGCGGTCAGGCCAGACGCATTCAAGGTAGGTGATATTTGGTAAGAGGCAGATGACGAGAGCCTGCCAAGCGATGGGTTTGTCGTCCGTTGGGATATTATACAACCATTGTTTCAGGCTGGAGGTTGATGATTGACCAAACTTTTTGACTGACTGCTTGAAGATTCCATCGAAGCTCCAGGTTGTGACTTGGGCTGTATGGTGTTGACCACATGTCCACATTTTGCCCAGCTTGAGACTTTTGACTTCCCTGGCCATGGAGGCATCGTGAAGAAGAAAGTCAACGAGTTTTTCCACCCGCTGAGCGCAGCAACAAGGATCAAGTTCCATATGAATAAATGCCTGGCGGTAAAGTTCTGTGTACATACGTACATTGCACCTGGCGAGGTTCAGTCGATCTTGCTGCGCTGGTAGATGATCCATGATCACAAGCAGCACCTCAGTCGGGAAGGTAACCAGCGAGGACATCTTGAATTGCGATGAAACGAGAGCAAGCGAGAGAGAAATAGAGAGAGAGATGGAGAGACGAAGAAAGTTGAAGCAGGTCAGATAAGCCCGAGCATCCTAGAGAGAGAATGAAATGAAGGAAGAAGTAGGAGGATGACTGAAAGGGAAACACGTCCAGCAGGAGTCGCGAGCTATATAGTCAGTTGCGACATACGCCCATTATACCTAGTCTTACCATAACATTGTTCCGAGCCTAGATGGGCCATACTTACGTCCGACAGATAGGTCAGCCTATAAATTCTTAAAGCTGGTAATTGATTCGTATGATATTTACATGAAATAAGCCATAGATATAGAACAAAGTAAAGAAAAATAAGGCAAAGGCATAAAAACTCCCAAAACATCGCCCAAAGCCATAAGAGACCGATGAGCGGAGGCAAAATGAATTCGGGGCGGGGATGTGCCTTTATCGATTAGCTTCCCTTTCTCTCCTCCCATGGCCATTTTTCCAAATCCTGTATATTCCTGGACTGTATCTATTACACTTCTCTCTGCATTCCAATCTATTCACCCCCTTCTCTTTCCCCTAGACGATGCCCTGATCCGCTGTCACGGTAATGGACGACTCGACCCCGACGCCCACCCAGCAAAAACGTCCTCGCGTCGCCGAAGAGAACCGCAAACGAGCTGTCCGAGCGTATGCTATGGCCCTATTGTACCAACTCAATCGCGTCGTCTAACACAATCGGTTTTGCGCAGGTGTGATGGTTGTCGCCGGGTGAAAGAGAAATGCGAAGGAGGTGTGCCGTGCCGGAGATGTCTGCGATATCGCCGCCAGTGCAATTTTACTCACATTGACCCCAATGAAAAAACCCGGTCAACGTCTATTTCGTAGGTTGGCCGCATAATCATATCCTTATTGCCATCTAGACCGCTAACGGCGCAATATCTGATACCAGACTTTTGGACCGTGCAGCCGCCCAAAGTCGAAATGACATCGCCGAGGCAGAACGGGTGCGCCTGATGGAACGTCTCCTATCGCATTATGTACCCAATATCACTTTCGATATTCAGTCTTTGCGACAGGCTGCAGAGGATCTGAAGAAGAAACACCGCCATTCTGAGTCCGATGCGATTTCTACCCGGGAAGATCCCAATGAGCTGGAGGATCTTGCCATTGATGAGGAGGATTTTACCATCAAGGCTATGCCTGATAATACAACCCGTATGTTGGGATCTGGGACCATATACAAGGATTTGTTGATTGACACTATTTCTCAGAATATTCCGGGGAATTTTCGTACTTGAATTTCACAATGAAGATCCGGAAGAAGATCGATGAATGGATGAAGACTGCAGCACCCGAGGTAGGTTTACGTGAATTGTCGGTGAGCAAATACTCATGCTAAACTCAAGCCCGCAGGCAACTTCCGAAGTTGAGCCTTTTGAAGAACGATGGAGAAGTACACAACTCCAGTCCGCGTCACCTCAGGTGTCTGCCTCAATTACATGTCTACCGCCGCGCTATGTCGCCGATTTTCTTGTCCAGATTTTCTTCAAGTACGCACAAACCAATAATTTCTATATTGAAGAAGACTGGTTAGTCGAGAAATTGGGTATCTGCTACAATGACCCCGAAAGTTTGTCATTTGACGATGCAGGCGCCGTGTGCTGTATTCTTATGGTCCTGGCTGTGGGCACCCAATTCGCACATATGGAGTCACCTACACCCGTGAATTGCTTGTCTCCAGGCTCTACGGCAAATCAAGACCATCACTTCTCGGAAGACGAGGTCGGACTCACATTCTACCAATTTGCTTCGAGGCTTCTACCAGACATCATCGCCACCGCTTCGGTTCGAAGTGTACAGGCCTGTCTTCTTATTGGGACGTACTTGCTTCCGTTGGATACTTCAGGCTTATGCTATACATACTTTGGGCTGGCACTGAAACTGGCTATACAAAACGGAATGCATCGGAGGTATCACGGCGAAGGCCTCTCTCCACGAATGATCGAAGTGCGCAATCGCGTTTTCTGGACAGCTTTTACTATCGAAAAGCGTATAAGCATTCTCCACGGCAGACCATCATCGTTGTCGGACCCCGACGTTGATGGTCCCCTGCCGGTTGATTTTCCCGGGTTGATGCCAGTCAATCAGGTCTCAAACCATACAAACATGGTAACACTTATTACATTGACTTTGAAGCTTGGGGAGGTTTCAAATGAAATTACCTCGTTGCGAAAATACCGCAAAGGGCAACAGCAGGACTGTCTTGAACGATTACTGAGTCTCCGGAAACATCTCGTTGATTGGTGGTCAACTCTACCAGAGGAGGTTACCTGTCGTGATCTGAATCCTGCAGGGCCGCTTTTCAGGTCTAATGTCCATCTCAGGCTAGACTACTGTCTGACTCGAGTCTTTATTGGGCGCCCTTTCCTGTTCAGCAATATCAAAGGCATCTCCCAGAACCCCTCTCAAGGCCCGTCGTACAAGGGGTCTTCTAGTCTGTCCGGTCTGTCAAAGTATCGTGCGACTCTTGTTACAGACTGCGTGGAAGCGGCTCTGGAAATCATCGATCTGTGCCGCTTGCTCCGTGATGAGACCGGTCTCGCGCGAGCTTCGTTTACCGAATTTAGTTCATGCCGTGCAGCTTTGCTAGTCATTTTAGCTCAGGGCCTGACCAAACGAACTGAAAGACTTGGGGCTGCTCTCGAACAAGGAATTTCCCTGATCAAGATCATGTCTATGGGTGTTGGCTCAGCCCGTTCGGCTGTCAGTGTCATAGAGGCGCTCGAACGTGCCATTCGTCGTCTCGAAGCATGGAGCGAGACCCAACCGGATATGAGCAGCGGAGGTACCGTCGAGTCTGCATATGACCGGTTCAAAAACTGGGAGATGCTTTGGAAAGCAGGGCCTATCTCGCCGTCCACGGTCGCGTGGCAACAGCAGGAAGCTTTTGCTCCAAGTGAGCAAAACATCCCACAAAACATTCGCTCCCAAGCCTCTACAATGGCGGGTCCTGCTACTCTTCTTCATGGCATGTCCCTGACACATTCGTCTGCGGCCATGATTGGCATGGGTGGTGCTGCCGCAACACCCGTTGCACATGATCAGAGCATTCCAGAAGGAGAAGAAGACTCACTCACCGACACTTTCTCCCTCTCTCAGATGCCACACTTTGGCTTCGATCACTTCGTTTCCAATTTTCCACAAGAGCTGGGCGAGTTCACAGCTATCCCATGCTTCGAACCAGATTCGCAGGCTCAATCTAATGGGTTGCCTCGTGCTGAAATGAAGGCGCCAGGTAACAGGTCTGACCCCCCTCACTGGCTGAATTTCATGAGGGATTCATGATCAATTTTTTTCCTATCATGCTTTGTTCTTAAGCAGCGACTCATCTATACAACATGTTTAGGTTGGGTCTTATGACTTTGATTTTATACCATCTTGCGACTGTTCATGTTTCACGGCTATATATTGTGCCTGGGTGATGGAACTCCGGGAAATTGTGCACTGCTTATTCTCAATGCAACTATTCATATATTGCAATCAATCTTTTACTTTGTCCGGGTCGGACGACTTTCGGCTTGTGTGCACACAGGGATATCTTGATATCTGCTCATTGGCTTGTGATGATACTTCGAGCATTGATTGATAAATATACATAATGCGCATAACCCTAATCGAACGTAACCTTCTTTCCTGCGAAAACAGCTGGTGCCTGCTCCTTGGCCTTCCGCTTTGCCTCCCAAGAGGGGTGCAATGGACCCTCATCCTTAGGCGGACCTTTAGGCTTACCACTAGAATGCTGCCCAGAGTGAGGACCATCAGGGCCATCTCTGTTCTGAGGCCGTCCAGAACCACCACCGAAACCACCACGTCTGCCCCCTCTCCCTCCTCTCCCACCTTTCCCTTCGTCAGTTGCACCGCGCTTCGTATCCCATCCATTATCTCTGCCACCATACTTCGCAGCCAGCTGCTCCTGCTTGACATGGTTTGCACTGACTCCGTACTTCTTCTCCCACAAAGCCCGACGCGCCTGCTGACCCATGCGGTTCTTACGGACAGGCTTCGCACCGGAATTTTCCTCATCGGTGGCTTCTTCCGAACCAGACCAGTAACCGCCGTTCATTAAAGATGGTAGGAATGTCGTGGTTTTCACTGCTGCAGCAGAGCCCTTCGTTGCCTTTGCTTTCTTAGGTGGCGGGGAGTCCCCGGCGGAGAATGAGGGTGAGGGAGAACGGGAGATAGAGCCGGAGATATCGTCTGCGCCGAGGTCTTCCTCGTCGCCGGATTCCGAGTCAGCTTCGGAGTCTGAGCCAGGTCCAAGTCGTGAGTTGAATTGTGAGAGGTCCTCGTCTCCACATTCGTCTGAGCCGGAGATGTCCATGTCGTGAGCCGGGCGGGAGACCTGCTCGCCACGCCTAGGTTTTGTCGTCACTGCCTCTGATTCAGACTCGGATCCGCTGTGTTCCTTTCGTGGCTTCTTTGCCGGCACATCCTCTTTGTTGTCCTCTTTTTTCGCCTTGCTAGTCGGCAGCTCGTCGACTCTCAGTAGTTTCCGGATGCCGGCCATGATTCCAGGCATTTCCTTCTGCACAGGAGTGGATTTGAACAGTCGCGCCAGGATATTCGCTTCGGCGGTACTCTTTGGTCCCTCCTGGGAGACCTTCTTGACTGCCTGGAACTCCCCGAATGTCCGCGTCTCTGCAATCCGCTTCGTCCTGATAAGTTGTTTGAACAGGTATCGCTCCGATGTGACATGGTAATCGAGACCCTATGAGAACGGACATTAGCAATCAAGTTCCTAAGCGAGACCCTCCGGAGAGGGCCGTATATCCAGTAAACAATAACCATATGGACTACGTACCTTCAAAGTCTCGATTTCTTCCTTTAGTCGCGCCAACGCCTTATCGTCCTTTTGCGCCTTGGCTGTCTTCTCTCGCCGACTGAGCTTTTGTCGCTCAAAGCCGCGCGATGTCTTGAGACCACGCATTATCATTAATACGCCGTTCTCAAACATTTGCGTCAACCGGGTGCCGTGGATGGACATTTTGCGAGTGTCGCTCGACCGCGCGGGGCCGCTAACTTCATCGAGCTTGCGTTTGGGCATTTTTCCCGGTGCTATGATTGTATGAATATGCGGGGTACTGAGATGAACAATTCAAAGATTGTATGGCTCGTTGAACAAAAACCGAAGGCAGTTTCGAGGGTCGTGGTGATCGTCGGATGTTGGTGTAGCTTAATTTTTTTTTCTTGGGCGGATCCCGGCGCCAAGACGGACGCTTGCAATGGCCAAATTGACATCTCGTTCGGGGTACTCCGTACTGTAAATTGGACTATAAAAAAAAAAACTGAATATTTATTACCGACTAACAGGGGTTAGTTACCTTATAAATGAGTTGGGGCAACTTGACTGCTACATACAATACGTTGCTTGATATATTGCTTGGGAAGACCATCGATTAACACTGACGGATATGTACATACAAACATGGCAAAGAAAATAATACGCATACAGAACCTTTCTATTTCTTTTCTTCCTCCTTCTCTTCCGGCTTGGGGGTCGGAAGCTTGAACTATAGTTGAATAGGTTAGGACCTTGTCTTTCAGCAAGGAAGATAATGTGACTTACGGATTCAGGAGTGCGGTCTTCACCCGCACCCACGGGCTCCCAGCTAGTAGAGCCGCTTTCAAAGTTACGGAAGGCCTGGGTGAGCTCAAGAGGCTCAATAACGATGCGCTTCTTCTCTTCGTCATAGCGCAGCTCAGTATAACCGGTCAAGGGGAAGTCCTTGCGCAGTGGGTGGCCGTCGAAGCCGTAATCGGTCATGATACGGCGCAGGTCAGGATGGCCGGTGAAGAACACACCGAACAGGTCGTATACTTCACGCTCGTACCACAAAGCACCCTCGAAGAGACCAGTCACACTGGGCACGGGAGTTGCCTCGTCCGCGTAGGTCTTGACACGGATACGGGAGTTGTGACGAACGCTAAGCATGTTGTAGACGACCTCAAATCGCTGATCGCGGGTCGGGAAGTCGACAGCCGTGATATCGGAGATCTGGGTGAACTCGGCGGCAGTGTGGTTCTTGAGGAAGCTAATCACGGGAAGGATACCAGCGGGAGCGGTATACACTGTGAGCTCATCCTTCCACACTGTGAACTGCTGGACATATTTGGGCAGACAAGACATGACGTACTGCCCATAGGCGTGAAGGCTGTCGGCCATGGGCTGGTACTTGTCGGTAGGGTTGACCACGGGGGCGCGCAGAGGTCCCGGGGCTGGCAAAACACAGTTCGGTTAGCTCAATCTGTCCTATCTATCGGCTCGTCCATTGCACATACGCGGGCGCTGCGCCTGGCGCATGTTCTCAGGTTCCGGGCCCGGTGCTGTCGAGGCCTTGGGGGCCCACTGAAGGGAGGCGGAGGAAAAGGTGCGGGCGGCCATGGACCTCGTGGCGGATGCCACAGAGCGTCCAGAACCCAGGCGCATCAAAGAGCGTGCGGAGGCCATTGTGTAGAGGGAGCAATGGCAGATGCAACGTGAGGAGGGGACGAAGGCACGTAAGTCGGATTGTGAAGGTTTAGAGTGGTCGAGCACTTTAGTCACGTGTTGGGCACCCGCTAAACTGGATCGGGCAATGCCAGCAAAATGAAGCCGCGCTTCAATTTCCTTCCTTCTTCTCCATCAATCATCTCCACCATTTCTTTTCCCCTCTCTTCTTCTCGCTCCTCCTCAAACATCTAATTACCGTTCGCCTTTCTACACTTTACAGGGCAGCGTATTTCTTTTATTTTCTCAGTTTCTCATCCAATTTGATCAGGTGTCGGCGTTTGAGATCTCGTGTCCCTCTCCGGTTATCACCGTATTCCCCGCGATCATGTCCAGTCTTTCATTGATCGATTCCGTCATCGACGACGACGATGAGTTTTGGTACGTCTCGAAGCTCACTCAACCCGCGCGATCTGTGTACTGATCACCCCACAGCCCCCTGTGCATTGAAGAGTTCGATCTCTCCGATAAGAATTTCAAACCGTGTCCTTGTGGATATCAGGTATGTCCATCTGATCAAGGATTTTCACGCGTCTCAGCAGTACTTGCTTTGTTATGGCAGGGACAGATGGCTCGTCTTTGTTTCTCTCTAGCAGACCTGACTGACATGTGATTTTTTTTTAGATTTGCCAATTCTGCTACAACAACATTAAGACGCAGAATGAAGAAGGCCGATGCCCCAACTGTCGGCGCGGATACGACGAAAGTACCATCCAGTACAAGATTCCCGACGTTGAGGAGTGAGTTATCCGATGCTCTGTAATATCTGAGCCACATCCCAACTAACCTGCTGTGTTTAGGTTCAAGGCAGATCTCGCACTGAAACATCGCAAAGCGGCTGCTGCCAAAAAGAAGGAAGCCGAAAAGCGTGAAATCGAAGCCTCCAGCCGGAAGAACTTGGCCGGTGTCCGTGTTGTCCAAAAGAACTTGGTCTACGTTATCGGCCTCAACCCTACGATCCGAGACGAAAATCAACTCCTTCAAACGCTTCGTGGACGGGAATATTTCGGTCAATATGGCGAGATCGAAAAGATCGTGGTCAGCAAGGCTAAGCCCGGTGGTAACCCTAACCAGGGAATTGGTGTTTATGTGACTTTCTCGCGCAAAATTGATGCTGCGATGTGCATCAACGCCGTGGACGGTTCTGGGAACGGCGATCGGGTGCTCAGGGCGCAGTACGGAACAACCAAATATTGCTCATCCTTCCTTCGCAATGAGCAATGCAATAATCGGAACTGTACTTTCTTGCACGAGACTGGGGAGGACAGCGACAGCTACAGCCGCCAGGACCTCTCATCTATGAACTCCATATCCACTCAACGCCCAAATCTCCCACCTACCCCCTCTCACGTGAGGTCCGCTCAACCCATCGCCCATCCTATGCGCCGGCAACCTAGCAAGGATGAGTCGATCAGTAGTCGCACCGGCATACCAGATGGCCCGGCTCTCCCGTCAACTGCAAGTTGGGCTAACAAAGATGCTGCTATTCACCGAACCAGAAGGACTAGTCTCACGGGTAGCCAAGCCTCCAACAATAGCCCACGGCCCGCAAGTGCCAATGTTGCGACACTGGTCGAAGAACCGAAACGACCAGAGAAGCCATCGCCGATTTCTCAAGAAGCCCCACAATCAATTTCTCAAGTCGATCCCCGATCTCCCGCCGCGCCACCACGTCCCCGTCGTGGGACTCAACCTCCCAAGCTGCCATCACCGTTTGACGGCTTGCTCAAGGATATGAACTCGGCGGATTTCAAGTTTTCCTTCAGCACGGCTGAACTGAGTGCCGAAGAGGTCAAGTTGATTAAGGATTACCCATCTTTCATCGATCCATATGGCGGCGTCAAGCGCAGAGCAATGCGAGAGAAAGTCGAACAAGAGCGTCTTAGCCGCGAGCACGAGTTGCTTCAATCCGTTGCAGCTGAAGAGGATAACCGTGAAGCTGGTAGCCTCCAGCTAGGTGGTGAGCCAGAAGAAGTAAATCCCCCGCGCAGTCGCCAGACGCGCGAGTCTCATGGGGCTATTCAGCCGCCCTCGCAGCAGGACACGGCGGATAACTCAACTGTTGGATCCCCAGTTTCTGCGACTAGCCATCAATTCCAAGGCCTGAACCTCGCTGGACGAAGCTTAACTCCCTTGCAGCAACAGCAGTTGATGTTACTCAAGTCCGCCGGTAATCAACAAGCTGGCCTGGCTGACCCTCTCGGCTCTGCCGCTCTGGACCAAGCCGCCCATGTCCGCCAAGGCCTTGTCCACAATCAGATGGCACAGTTCAATGCGCTGCAGGCAGCACAGAACCGACAGTCTTCCCGATTTTCCTTCGCCAATGAGGCCGGTTCTAAGAATATTCCTAACGCGCGCATGTTGGGCCAGATGCAATCTTCTTCTCCCAACCCTCTTTCTGCTCCTAGCCCTCAACATAGTCTTGCAGCAAGTGGCTTCTATGCAAGCGGAGTGCAGGGTCCCCCACCGGGACTGAAGACGGCTGGTACCCCTCCGATTAGTGGTGGTGGAATGTTCGCCCAAGGACATGGCTTCACCTCTGGGCTTGGTGGTAATGGAGGAAAGCAAGATCCAACTCCGGAGTTAATGCGAGAGCTACTGCGTGGACGAAATGGTACGAATGTTAGTGGTTTACAGGGCCAGGAGGCGGCTAAGCGTGAGTTCATGTTCCCTTTTCTTCAACAGCACAATACCCCACCCCCTATGACTCCTGTCAATGGCCTTCTCAGCTCCTTCTATGGGCACCAAGCGGGCGTGATGCCTGATTCCGGTGGCCCACAGAAGCAGAAGAAGAAGGGGAAGAAGCACAGACACGCTAACACTTCCTCCGGTGGAGGTGGTGTAGTAGATCTTGCGGACCCGAGCATTTTGCAGGCGAGAATGCATCAAGTCGGCGCGAATGCTACTGCTGGGCAAGCGTTGTACGGGAGTCAGGGCCAAGGTGGGTACAACCCCTCGATGGTGTACGGTGGTGGCATCAGTCGGTGGTGAATCCCCGCGGTTTCACTTATTCCCGTGATTGGCTTCCTGCATTTTCCTGTTCGCTTTTTCGCTATGATATTCTGCCCTTGATGGGCCTGCTTTATCCTGATGACATGATATCAATTCCCTTTCTTTCCTCCCCGTGGAGGAGGTCTTGCATTTGTTGTTTCTGTTTTATTCGCGGTCAGGCTGGCAGCTCTGATTTATGCGATGGGCTGGACGGTCACCTGGCGTACTAGGGCTTTCCCTTGTCTCCTTCAATTGCTATCTATTTCTTGCATGCTTTCTCTGGCTCTTTCCAGGTGTCTTTGCATTTCATGGACATACTGGCGTGTGTTCCGAGCTCCTGTATTCGGCGGCTGTGTATTCCCTTTCTACTTTTTTGCATCCGGACTTCCATTATACGATCTGCTGCCCTGCTGCGTCTTGAAGACCGCGGGTGGTGTTTATTATGGATTAGTGTACGTTAAGATCTCCCTACCCTGATACCACAAGCCGAAAAGGGTCTTATTCGAAATCAGTTTCCTCACAGCCGCCGTTTACATAGACGCTCTGTCCTGCAATGTTCCTGGTCC